GATGGACAGAACTGGCTGGCTCCAAGGTCTTGCAAACTAAGATGACTTGGAGTTCCAGGCCCCCCAAAATTTCCAGCAAGAACAGCAGAATGTCTGCAAGATCTAGCTGCTTTCTTTCTGAGCCCTTGACCACCAGCCATGTCAAAATTACCTCCTTCCTCCTCCAGGTGGAGAGAAGTTTTGTTTTGTTTTGTTTTGTTTTGTTTTGTTTTGTTTTGTTTTGTTTTGTGGGGGGAAGGAGGGAGGATGTTGGGCAGAGACAGGGAAATCCCTGATAGGGCAAGTGGGAAGCCAGACAGTTTCAAGACAAATGCAGGGAAGGACTTGGTCAACCATCGTTTGGGGGCATTCCTTGGGCCGTAGCTGCAGGCACCACAAATTTTCTAAATAAGGATGGGAAAAGTCGTGAGAATCAAGTGTTATCTGCCAGGGAATTTCCAAGGTTCTTCTCTGGGCTTGAAAATTACTCATACTCCAAGAACAAAGAGAGTGGAAGGAGAGAGGGCAAATTACTTAAAAGTCATTGAAGAATAAAAGCAGGGAGAATTCACAAAATGTCACAGGCGTGCGGCACCCTGAGGAGTGGGAGGGCCATGGAATTCCTCCAGCTCCCAGGTCCCGGCTCTCCTGATGGAGGCTGGTCTATGCCTCTCAGGGGAGGGCCACCGGCTTCCGAGCCGACCTGTGGCTCAGGCATCTGGGTTTAGGTCTGGGCAGTCTGAAGGCCGGTTGGTGATCCTGGAAAGAAGTTGACCCGGTGACTCACTTTGCGGACGGGGACCAGCACTTGCCTGCGGGCCTGTGCTCATGAGCCCTGCCCCTTGGTGGATGCAAACTGACCGTCTTCCAGAACTTAAAGCATTGGTGCCTCGCTGATCCCTGTTTTTAGAATGAGTCCACTGGGGAATAAAACTAAGTTGTAGGCATGCTGGCGGAGGTGAGGGGTGTGAGATGGAGGGGCTGCCTCTTCCACCCGAGGATCAGGGCAGCGCGGTTCTTTGCACCAGGGATGTGCTTCAGACCCAGTGAGATTGAACCTGGACATCAAGGATGAAAAATACCATGCAGGCCTCATGAGAAGGGCCCAGGGAACGCCCAGGCAGCCGGACTCCATGCCATGTACCAGGCTTCCGTAGGTGTTTCTGTAGTGACTCTTAAATTATTAAAATAAATACAGACAACTAGAAACCCTGAACATTCTATATAAAAACAAACATAAGAGGACTCTGAAAGGTTGGAGAGAAGGCAGACCAGCTGGGGACCATGGTGCCCAAGGAATGATAGAGTAGTATCTTGCTCGATTTCTTCCTGGCCTCACAGGTCCCAGACTTGGAGCCAAACAAGCCAGCAACCCAGAAACGCCAGTAGGCACAGGCAGACCAAGAAGCCCCAACAAAAACCTGCCCTCTCTAGCCAGAGGACTAGGAAAGGGGCAGCCTCACAAGGCAGAAAACTCTTGGATGATAACACTCAACTCTAGGCAAACCCCCCAGAAAAAAAAGCAGGCTCCGCCCTGACTCACACAAGCAAAGGCCAAGGAAAGAGCCAAGAGTTGACACTCACTGGGCTGTGAGGAGGCTCTCAAATGCTCCACCAGGGTGGTGTCAGAAAGGCTGAGTGAGGACTTGGGACTCGTCCCCCCACCCCATGGGGCACAGAGCACCCCTCCCTCTGTGTCAATGGGGAATAACAGTGTGTACCCTTCTCCTAGCCAGGGAGGCATCAGTGTGGGGAGCCAGAACTCCCACCCCTGCTCAGCAATAAAGAGGACCTCCCTTGGGGTGTCAGAGAAGGCCCAGTAGGGAACCTGACCTCTATTCCCCACTTGGCAGTAACAAGGCCCAGCAGCCCTTTCCACTACTGGAGCAAGGTCAGAGGAAGCCCGCTAAAACCGCTCTAAGACTCTGGACTTAACGAAGTCCAGACTCACATAACATAATACCCAAGATGTCCAGGTTTCAACCAAAAATCTCCTAGTCATACTGAAACCCAGAAAGATCTCAACTGAATGAGAAAATACACTAGATGCCAAGACCAAGATGACAGAAACGTTAGAATTATCTGATAAAAGATTTTAAAGCAGCCAGCATAAAAATGCTTCAAAGGACAATTAGGAACACACTTGCAACAAATGAAAAATTAGGTCTTGGCAAAGAAACAGAAGCCATGATAAAGACCCAAATGAAACTTCATAGTTAAAAACTCAATGCATGGCCTCCACAGCAGAATGTAGGGACAAGGGAAAGAACCAGTGTACTAGAAGATAGAATAGAAATGATCCTGTCTGAGCCACACAGAGAAAATAGGCTAGAGGAGAAAAAAAAAAAAAAGGTGAAGGAGCTTCTGGGACCTGGGAGTCCACAATATAGTATCTAACATGCATGTTCTCAGAATCCGTACGGTCAAGGAGGGGAATTACCCAGAGAAATAATGACTGAAAACAGCTTGTGTGTTGGTGGTGGGAATGTAAAATGGTACAGCATCTCTGGAAAAGAGTTCAACAGTTTGGGTTTGTTTGTTTTTTAACTAAATGAGCAACTACCCTGGGGCACCTGAGTGGCTCAGTCGGTTAAGCATCAGACTCTGGTTTCAATCTCAGGCTTGTGAGGTGGAGCCCCACGTGGGGCTCCGCACTGGGCTTGGAGCCTGCTGGGGATTCTCTCGCTCCCTCTTCCTCTGCCCCTCTCCCCTCTAAAAAAAGAGAAAAAGGAAAAGGCATTCATGTTCATTTAGAAAACACAAAAAAGAAAAGAAGAATCCTCAACCCATCCCCCAGAGATAACCACTGTTAGCATTTTTGTATCTGCTTCCAGATTTTTCTAGGCACATAAATATCTGCCTTAAAAAATAGCACCATGTTACACATTCTGCAACATGTGCTTTCTTCCATCAACCAGAGGCAAGTCAGTTGGGTGCAAGACCGTTTCATTGCTCAAATCATGATCTGTGCCCCTTTCCAGCAGGAAGGAGCTAGAGTCGTCATCACCCCTATACCTCAAGAATGAGGAATGGCGACAGCCAGGGGTGGTGCTGGCTCATGGAGACCAAACAGCTACCGTCCTAAATAAAATGAGATTTGTCCGAAAAAAAGAAAAAAAAACACAACATGTTCTTAATGTTCCACATCCAGTTTCTCAACTGTTACACACTGCCATGATGAACATCCTTGTACCTACATCCCTACTAGGCAAGGCTTTTGATTATTTCCTTTGGATAAATTGCCACAAGTGGAATTACAAGGTCCAGTGGTTTACATGTTCTAGAGGCTCTTGTAACAAATTGTCAAATTTCCCATCGGAAACATACTAATTTCTACTTCTAATATACAATGTTTTTAGTTACCATTTGTGTGGCAACAAAAGATTACACACCTGTCTCCCACTTAACTTTAATTCCCCCTTGAAAACCCTGCTAGTAGGGAAAGCTTTTCAATGAAAAAAAAAAAGTTGTTTTCATTTATTTTAATGGGAAAGTGATATGTTTAGCCTCAACCCAAGATGCCTCCAAATTTTCACAGATACAAAATTATCAAGTGAACATTGAAACTGACTTTATATAAGTAATAGTTTCAAAGTCAATAAATACCTTTTTTGTTCATAAAATGCAATGCAATGCAGTGAAGATCTGTTCTACCCACCGAAGACATGGGTCACAGACGAGGGTATAAGCCTCATTCTTTAGAAGGTAAAGTCTTCTTTCTGCAAACTTCCTTTACCAACTTTGCAACGTTTGAGGGGCTCTTGGTCATCTTGTTCTCCATCTGCACTTCATATAAAGTCATGCTGTGGAAAATACTGTGAGGTTGGACACGAAAGGTTTTCCAGAGTTGGAAGCAGCCTTTGTGCACAAGACCGGAGGGTCCCCAGGACGCCCCCTCCCATGCCCTCGCTTGCCTTCAGTCCACAAATCAAAACGTTTGGGGTTCATCCCACGTGCACACCTCAAGTCTGTTCCATGTGATATTCTCTGCCTCAGAAATAGCGTGTCCAGTAAATCAGTGAGTCACATGTCACTCTCGTATTAGTTAGCTCGGACTCCCATAACAAAATACCAAAGACAGGGTGCCTCAACAACAGAAATTGAGCTTCTGAGAATTCTAGAGGCTGGAAGTCCAAGGTTAAGGTGTCTGCAGGATTAGCGTCTTCTGGGGCATCTCCCCTCGCAGATGGCTGTCTTGCCATCTCCTCACACGGTCTTTCTTCTGTGTGCCTGCATCCCTGGTGTCTCTCTGTGTCTAGATTTCCTCTTGTCATAAGGACACCAGTCAGATTGGATTGGGGCCCACCCTAATGGCCTAACGGATTAACTTAATCCCCTCATTAAGGGCCCTCTCTTCAAATACAGCCACATTCTTAGGTAGTAGGGATTGGGGCTTCCACATGTGAATTGTGGGGCTGAGGGACACATAATTCAGCCCATAACAACTTATCATTGTATATTTTGTTAGCGAACTTGGGGATAGAAACGTCAATCTAACAAAAACAAAAACAAAAACAAAGGTTGTTTAACAAATGCTATAACTTTACAAGAGCCATTATGGTAAAAATCCATGAACAGGATAGTTGTTACGAGACACAGGTCTGTGTATCTGTCTTTGCTGGAACATGCATGGAATATGTTTGGAAGCTTCCCAAAATGGTAGCAGTTGCTTCAAGAGTACCTGCTGGGTGGCTATGGTCGTCAGGAGGATTCACTGTCTCCTCCAGCGCCTCCTTTGAATTTGGTTCCCCACACATGTGCTGATGTGTATTCTAATAAGGGGATAAAATAACACTTGAACTCAAGGACCGACCTAAACCCTCGGGAATACAGGAACCTGTCTGTCTCCTGCTCTGCGGTATCCACAGGCCCCATCACAGAGCCTGGCCCAGAGGAGGTGCTCAGGAAGCATGAATGAATGAATGAATGAACAACTCAGTGAACTACTGTCCTGGTGTTTGGCACAGGGACCCCGAGCAGCCCTCCAGTGACCCTCTGTGTCTTGCCCCTTTGGTTTGCAGACGGCAGCAGAGACCTCCAGGAGGAAACAAGCCCCAACAGCACGGTGACCACCAGCCGGGCAGTGCCAAACACAACAGGGACCACCAGAAATCCTACCCGGGGGGCTCAGTGCCCCACCCCTCAGGGAGGCCCACCCATCACGGCTACAGCCAGAACCGGCGCTGGCACAACAACATGAAGCACCCCCCAGGCGACAAGGGGGAGGCAGGCACCCACCGCAATGCCAAAGAGACCGTGACCATGGAGAGCGCCAAACTTGAGGACGCCCTGGGGGACACGGGGCACAGCGGCCTCGAGCACCCCCGCAGCCCTGATGCCCTAGCCCCCTTGGCTTCTGAGAGGCTGCCCCCACAGCAGCCGGGGGGTCCGGAGCCTGAGACAAAGCGTAAAGACAGTATTATTCCCGAGCGCATCGGGGAGCGGCCCAAAATTACCCTGCTCCAGTCTTCCAAAGACAGGCTGCGGCGAAGGCTGAAAGAAAAGGTACCGGTAATTGAATTTTTGTTGTTCTCTTGCACCAGGGAGGACAGCGCGAGGTAGGCACTTTGGTAGGTGGGCACGGGTTTGAGGGGGCCGTCACTGCCTTAGGGACCCCTGGCCACCAGAGGGCTGGCCCGTGGCCGGCTCTGCATGAACCCCTCCAGCACATTTCAGCTCCTTGCCTTCTGGTCCCCCGAGAGGCCCACGGGGGCACCGGGCACCAGCCCCCCAGCCTGAGAGGGAAGGGGAGGAAGGGGCACGTGGCCGAGGGGGGTGGGAAGGGAATGGGGAAAGCCGGGTTCTTCCCTCCAGCCTTCCGTGCAGTCAGACACTGCCCTGATAGTGCTAAAGGGCATTTGGGGGGAACTCAGAGCTGATATGATGAGAAGGACTGATGCTTCTCCTCCAGGTAAGTGCCAGCCAGCTGCAGTCCCCACCAGGGTCGAGAGCAAAGGTGAGTTGGGCAGAATGTGAGCAGGCCTCAGCTTGGCCATTCTTCTCCTTCGTCAGCAGCCAGGGAAGGGTCTAAGGGACAAAATTGAAGGAGGCCTGCCTTCTTCCCCGCTGCCAGCGTTCCACAGGTCCCAACCCTGTATTGACACAGCCCTGAGAGTAGGGCCTTCTTAAATGTTGCCCCTTGCCTCCCGCCCCGAGCCTCTCTGTCTTCACTTTACCCTCGGCCCTGGCTTCCAGAGCCTGGCTTGCTGATTCAGGAGGACATGTCCCTGAGCCTCTAGCAAAGGGATGGGGCTATGTCACTAGCAGCCTCAGGTCCACTGTGCTCACCCTAGGCCCCCTTCCTGCCAGAGATGCAGGAGAAGTCACCTTGGGGAGGAGCTGTTCCTGAGAAAGGCCGACTTGCCCCCAGCCCTCCCCAGAGTCCTACTTCTGGGGCTTCTGCAGAGCTCGAAGCTGTGGGCTCCTCCCCAGCCTCTCGACCGCCTACTCTCCTCCACCTTTTGCCCAAGAAGCCAGGTCCAGGGGGCACCCGGGTGGCTCAGTTGGTTAAGCAGCTGCCTTCGGCTCAGGTCATGATCCCAGGGTCCGGGGATGGAGCCCCGCATTGGGCTCCTTGCTCAGCGGAGAGCCTGCTTCTCCCTCTCCCTCTGCCTGCCACCCTGCCTACTTGTGCTGTCTCTCTGTCAAATAAATAAATAAAATTAAAAAAAAAAAAAACAGCAGCAACCAGGTCCAGGTCCACACTCAGGCAGGACGAGGCAGGGGAGACCCCTTCCCAAGCCGGCACGTGAAGCTGAGATGCTGCTCCTGGCATCCTTTGCAGCCCTGAGTCCCCACCCCACCACTCCCTGGGGGCAAGCAGTTGTGAGGTCCAGGAGGAAAGCGCCATTCATTTCCCTGCTTCTCGAAGGTGGGAGCCTGGAGGTGGTTCCCAGCTGGTGACCAGTATGTCTTCTCCCGAAGACCTTCTAAGACCTATTCCTACAGCCTGGCCAGGGTCGGGGGGTTATTCATTACATTCCCTTCAGTTCTGCTAAATGTAGCTGCAGTGTCCTAGAGTGGAAACAACATGGGCTTGAGAGTCCAGCAGACCAGCTGATGCTCACTCTGCCTTTGACTGGCTAGGTGACCTTGGGCAAGTCACCTAACCTCTCTGAGCCCCAGTTGACTCATCTGTACCCACCTTGCAGATAGATCGTGAAGATTAAATGTCATGACATGCGTAAAGACCCCCATGGGTGGTGGTTATTTTATGTACAGACCACTCTTCTGCCCTGGGGCCCAGATAGTTGGGCAAGGAGGGGCTAGAATAAGGGTAGATTCATAGCACCTATACATGGGTTTCAAGGACTCCCCTTAGATGAGGCCTCTTGGATTCCTAAACCAGGAGGACATTGCCATAGGCAGTAGCAGGGCTCAGGGAAAATGACACATCATCTAACCTCCTTATCTTACTGGTGAATAAACTGAGGCCCAGAGAGTGAAACCACTGCCAATAGCCATATAGCTAGAGGCAGACAGCAAGTTCTAGGACCCTGGTCTGTGCCTCCCAGCCTAGAGCTCTCCTTGTTGAGAACAGAAGGGCAAGCGTGGGACCTCACTTTATGTCCCTGACCCTGCCCTTCACCCCGATTTTACATCGCAGCAGTTAGGGTGATCACATGCTTGGCCATCAATCCATTGCTTTTGAATAAATACTTCTGAGACTGTCAGATGCCATTTTCTTCCTTCACCAGCCCGGGTGTGATCCACTTGCAGTGAAACTTCTTAAGGGTGTTGAGTTTGTTGTTTGAAACTTCCTTCCAGGAAGTGCCAATCGATTTAGTGGCACATGGCAGGATTCCTTGGTAGATAGCATTTGTTATAGAAGGCCTGCACAATCTCCATAGGACACAAAACCAGGGCCATATTTACCCAGAGAACACGATCGTCCTTGGGCTGTAGGAACCAAGAGTCTGGTAGACAAGGTAGCCATTTGATGGGCGCCTTTAACCAAGGTGGCAGGCATTTTGGATACCTCCCTCCTTCCTGCAAAAAAATATTTTGTTTGTTATCTAATTTCATCTTTTACAAGGCCCATTAAGTCATTTCCAGCTTGAGACATTTTATAGGCAAGTAGACAGACACAGCCAATATATATGGGAGTCCTGGGTAAGAGTTAGAGCTTGCAAGAAGGGTCAGCCCCAGATGTCACAGGAGCCAAGAAAAAGGTCAGCAGAGGATCCTGGGGCCCGAGGGTCCTTGGTGGAGGTCAGCATTCCCAGAGGGACCAGACCTCAGGTTCAAGAAGGTAGGGCTGGGGGCGCCTGGGTGGCTCAGATGGTTAAGCGTCTGCCTTCGGCTCAGGTCATGATCCCAGGGTCCTGGGATCGAGTCCCGCATCGGGCTCCCTGCTCCTTGGGAGCCTGCTTCTCCCTCTGCTTCTCTCTCTCTCTCTCTCTCTCTCCCTCTCTCTCTCTCCTCCTCTGTCTCTCATGAATAAATAAATAAAATCTTAAAAAAAAAAAAAAGAAGGTAGGGCTGGATCCTTTCTGGGGGCAGCAGCCCTCCCTCCCCTGGTCACCCCCAGCGGTATCCTCGGCTCCACTCAGGCGTGACTCAGTTTGTCTCCCACACCCCCAGGACGAAGTGGCCGTGGAGACCACCAACCCTCAGCAGAACAAGATGGACAAGTTGATCGAGATCCTGAACAGCATGCGGAACAACAGCAGCGACGTGGATGCCAAGCTCACCACCTTCATGGAGGAGGCCCAGAACTCGACCAACTCCGAGGAGATGCTGGGAGAGATCGTCCGGACCATCTACCAGAAGGCCGTGTCTGACCGCAGCTTCGCCTTCACGGCCGCCAAGCTCTGCGACAAGATGGCACTCTTCATGGTGGAGGGGACCAAGTTCCGGAGCCTGCTTCTCAACATGCTTCAGGTAACCAGACACCGGCAGCTGCGGGCCCCCGCCCCCGCCCCCGCCCCCGCCGCGCCGCGCCTGCCCCTGGGTTATTACTAGAGAGAAGGCTGCTGATTCTGACCACAGTTGAACTTTTCCCAAGTTCCACCCTTGCCCGATTAATTATAGAAAATAAAAAGGCACCCGAGGGGCGAGGGATGAGTGTCCGGATTTGCGTGTGTTTGTGTGAGTACTCCATGGTTACAATGGACCAATATACTTTTATAGGTGTTTCATGTTTAATCAGCCTTTCCCTCTCTCTGTTTCCATGATAAGAGCGCTGACGCTTGGTCTTAACCCGTCTCTGTGCTTTGACCTCTCTGCGTCCGAGAGGACGCGAACTTGGTGTGGACTTCTCTTTTCCTCCTCCTCTTCCTCCTGCCCCAGACCACCACCCCCCAGCCCCTGGAGGTGGTGTAGCCGGTGCTTAGGTTTGGTCTGGCTGCCCATATACTGGGCTTCCTGAAACCACCTTTAAGGCAGAGGGGAAGCGTGGAGATCCAAGACTGTCTTGTTCCTTGGTGCCTTCCCCCTCAAAATCCCTCCAGAGAGCGTAATCCCGATCCTTTTCATCTCTTCTTCCATGGGTGCCAGCACTCAGTGCTGGTTTTATCAGTGTGAGAGGGTAGCAGGCACGGGCGTGGGCGCATAGACCAAGCCTGTTCCATCTCGTAAGCTGGAGGCCAGCACCTGCTCTTCTGTCATGGGTGCGGTAGCAGGGGGACTGGCGGCGTCAGGGAGAGGTAGCAGGTGGTACAGCATGGCCACCACGCCTGGGGACTCTTGGCTGCAGAAGAGTCGTCTGTATTCTGACTTTGTACCTTAGACTCCCTGAGATATGAGCTGAGTTTCCAGTCCAGGTGAGGTAAGACAGGAGCCTGGACGTTCTGAACGCAGAGTTCCAGAAGGGGAGGAGACCCCCTGCAGGTCTGTCTGAACAAGGGGGAGCACAGGAGAGGTCATCCAAACCCCAGCACTTCTGAGAGGCCCAGGGGCTCTATCCATAATTACACCTGGACACCAGGCGTAAACCAAGGCATGTGGTCACGCCGGTCTTAACCAGCTGGTTCAAAGTCTTCTGTCTCTTCCCCCCAAAACAGGGAGGAGGGAGCCCCCTGTGTGTGCTGCCCGCAGGGCTCCATCCGTGCTGTCCTCCCCTCTTCCTGGGGAGTCTGCTCACTGCAACCTGAGCCCTCCCTGGCCAGCCTGGGCGGCTTCTTTCCAGCCCCAGGTCCCGATCAGGTTCCCATTCCTGGATCGCCCACGCTCCCCTGGTGACGAATTCCCGCATTACCTGAGGGATTTGCACATCGGGCATGTTCCTCACGGGCCGGAATGTCCTGGGAGAGTGTGGACGGTGGCGGCGGGGAGCAGCCTGTCTGCCACGTACTGCCACGCATGGGGGAGTCAGGGACGGGATTGGCCTTTGGCTTTGGTTTTTCGTCTTTTTCAGAGAAGGGCCAGGATAGGGCAAGACTTGTAGACAATGGCTGCTAGCTCCAAGTAACCTAGCCAGAGCCAGTGGCGGACAGACATCCAGGGTGTGGGGACAAGACGCACCCGGCCGGGAAGGGCAGCTGGCCACAGGGTCTGCCCAGGATCCTGCCCGGGTTAGGCATTTCTTCCAACGACCCGTGGTCAGAGCAGCCTTGCGCACAGTGTCCAGCAGGGCATCCATCCTGAGACATGCTCAGCCACAGAAGGGGCTCCGTGGCACACCCGCTTCTCCATCAGCCACAAAGTGGACTGGCTTAGCACAGCAGGAAGGGAACATGTTTGGCCCCGCCGAACTCAACAAGTCCTCTTTGCATCCCCTGGCTAATAACGTCTTGTGGAATTAGTGTGCCAAGAGACATAGTTTGGCAAATGCTAGCGCAGGGCAAGAGCGCTAAATTGAAAGCCGGGAAACAGAGCTTCTCGACCTGATTCAGCAGTCAGCAGCTGGTGCTGGGTCTCTGCTGCTCCCACTGGGAAGGGCTTGGCTTGGCTGTTTGACCCTCCTCCGTGGACCTTACAGGTTGACGCTGCTGGAGATGAGTCAGGGGCCTTGAGGAGGGACCCCACGGGAACCTCGTCCACCCTCACTTTCCCTGGGCCCTGCCATTGCCAGAAACAGTCCTGGATGCCCCTAGTCCTCAGAACCCCACCCACCCCATAGCATGGCTCAATGACAGGTATGACATATGCTTTGGGAGCCAGCCCAGGAGACCCAGCCCTACTGATGCCACCTCGTCTCTGGGGCAGAGGAAGGCTGTCAGTCCCACATCTGCCATTTGCCTGGGTAGAGTATTTGTGGGTCAGGTATTGAGAAATCTAAATGTCCCCTGTAGGCCCCCACTTACCACCTCCTCACCGCCTGCAGCCCCAGCTTTTGTGTAAGCTAAGGAGAGAGCCCCTTGAAGGGCTTGAGCTGGACACTCACTTTCAAGGCCCTTGGGCAGGCTGGATATGCTGCTGTGGGGCTGCCTCTAAGCTCCTGACAGACCAACTCCCTGATTACAAGGCCCAGAGGAAGCCAGCCCCGTGGGTCTGCTCGGGCCCCCTCGGGCCCTGCTGTCTCTCCCTGGCACTGAGGAGGTGGCAGATTGAAGTCAGCTTTCCAAGCAGCATGATTCATGGCCATTGACCACCCCAGACTCACAAGGTACAAGAAAAGAGGGAAGTGGACATGGCTCATCCAACCCCACTTTCCTTCTTCATGCCCACAGGGGTGCTTTTTTGACTTGCCTTCATTTTCTGGCAAACCTGATTTGTGTCCCTCTCCTGGCAGACAGTCCCCGGCTCCCAGAGGTCTTCCCTTCCCTTTGTCCCTGTGCAGCTCATACTCAGCTCTGTCCTCTCGAGGCCCACTGCCTCCGGGTCTCCAGCTGGTCACAGTTGGGCTGCTGCCGCCACATCAGAGGCCCGGCTTAGTGATGCCGGGTGAAACGGGGCCAGGGTGTGAAGTGCCCTATGAACACAGCTCCCAGCGCTGGCTTTGGACGGTGCTCTCCTTGGCCGACTGCTTTTGCTGCCCGGGTTTCAGCAGTGGGACCTGGCAGCGTAGGGGGAGAGGGGCAGGCTCTGCTGTAGGGGACACTCTGGCAGAGGCATGAGAGCTGCCTGCCAAGCTGGGGTGCGGAAACTGCGGGGCGGTAAGTGGGGCCAAAGGGATGTCAAAGGGCCTTGAACCCTTCCCAGCCAGAGACTCAGCATTGTCCTCTCCAGGAACCCAGCAACACTGCCCTCATAAGCCAGGACAATGCCAGAGCCCCGAGGGTTTCAGTGGACCCATCGCCAATCCCATAGCTCAAAAATGATCTTCGATTTTTACATCAAAACCGACTTGTTTTGCCTTAAATGTGGGGTCCTTTTTTTACTGTTCTTATAAATAAAATTCCACTTCTTAAATGTCTGTTATGCATCGAGCGTTAGATCAGTGTTTCTCATCAGATCGGTGCTTCTCAAACTTGAATGTGCCTTTGAATCGCATGGTATTTTGTTTAAATGCAGGTTCTGGTTCCGTAGTTCTGAGTGCACCCTGAGATTCTCAGGTCTGACGAGCTCCCAGATGATGTGGGCACTGTGGGCCCAGGGACCTGACACTTTGAGTCACAAGGCCTTCTATTGGATGACTGACGGTTTGTGGGTGAGGGGTCAGTTTCATAGATGGGCCCACTGAGGCACAGTCTTTTATTGGTGTGCTTGTCAGACAGGGGGATCCGGCCTGGGAAATCTGAGTTTCAGCCCCCGGGTTTTCTGTAGGCCAGTGGTTCTCAGCCTAGCTGCCCACTAGAGTCATATGGAGAGGAGCCTACTGGTGCAGGGGTCCTACCCCGGACCAGTGGAATTAGATCGTCCAGGGACACCGGGCCATCCTTTAGAAAGATTTCTGCTGCTGTGTAGGCAGGTGAGCACCACTTGTGAGGTAGATACTCCAGAGACGCCCTGGCTGTGCCACCGTTGTCCCTTATGAACCAGCGGCCCTGCCTGTCATCCGGGAGCCAGTCAAGAAATTCGTAGCAGGTACGTAGCAGAGGAGTGTGGAGGACGCAGAGCCTGAGCTGGGGAGTGAGCACCAGAGCAGGAGACGTGACAGCTGAGACAGTCCCTTCGCCTTGCCCAGCCTCAGGTTCCCCTCTGGGCAGTGAGAAAGCTGTTCTGGACCCTCCCGGGGGCCCTTTCTCACATTCCTCGCCACCATTCCGGGGTTCCTCCGGAAGCAGCTCCACACTAACCAAGTCAACCAAGCGGGAGCCCAGAGTTGCCTCTCCTCACCGCTGGCCCTATTCCTCTCTGTCCTCGGCTTGTCTCCCCGTGTCCTTTTCCTTTTTCTTGGCCTTGGACATTTGTTGGAGCAGCTATCACGTGTTTTAGGGAAAGGACCTCACTCTGAACCCACGTGGCCCGGGTGTGCCAGAGGCTGGGCCACCCGGTAAAGCTGGGGAGGAGGCTGGCTTCACTGCCTGGCTCCCGACTTCACGTTTGCAGGGTCCCACACCCACTGGAGTGTGTGCCTTGATGCTCTCTGACTTCCAGGAGAATGTGGGGTGCCCAGGACCCCCGGGTGACCGAAGTCACCAAAACTCTTGGCCTTGATCCTCGCCCAGGAATTGCGGGATGATAATGGGGCGGGAGGCGGCGGGGAGGCTCCAGCTTCACGAGGCGGGGAAGAATGACTGTGCCTCTTTCTATGGGACCCTCTGGAATGAGAGGAATTGGAGGCCGGAGCCCCCTCTGCCCAGCACTGCCCTGTCACCACCCCAGGCCTTCCCCTTGGGCTCCGGGAGTGCTCCTTCGCCAAGGTATGCGTGGGTAGTACAAGTTCAAGCCCTCCTGTGTTGACATGTGCGTGCCCTGTTTAGCCGAGGGGTGTCTGCATCTGAGCTATGCAGAGCGGAGTATTATTAGAGCAGGCATCAGTGTGTCTGTAACTGTCTGTAACTGACCCCAGCTCGCCCTAGCAACCGTTGCCAACAACACATCTAACAGAAGGATGC